TAGAATCTAAATGGCACCACAATATTAAATATATAAGCAACAGTTGCAATTCTCTCTAATAATTTCAGACAGCCTAAAGCAAACCAAGAAATTTTAGTGGAATGAAAGTAAATTTATGATAGTATACATTACATTTGTATTGAGAACATTAAAGGTATTTCCCTACTCTTTTCTAAAATAGCCATATCATTGTGGTTTTATCCATCTGAAACTATGTCCTTACATTTCTATGGCCCGTAGATGAATCAGTAAGAAAAAAATGAAAAAATATTTAAACTCAGGTTGCTTTTTGATACATCAGCAGTGGTAAAGCTCAGAAATAAATTTTATTATTTCCACCAGCATTCCTCAATCTACAGAGTAAACAGCTTTTATTTAATCAGTTTTAGAATTCAATCTCTTTGGAACTATTTTTAGTTCTTACTGGCATTCTACACAATTCTGGGCAACTGTACCGGATTTATAGCTCTGAAAGTGCCCTGTTATTTATTATCTTCCAGTAGGCAATGGAGTGGAGTCTTACACATGCATATGTCAAAAATGTTGAAGTTTTCTATGGTGGTTCTATTAATTATTTCCCAAAACAATAGACAAAACATACAGCTTTTTTTGGCAATACGTATCCTTTCATTTTTTTTTCAAAAGCAAAAAATACTTCTCTTTGGAGTTTCATATCTAACACCAACTTTCTCTTCTTTGATTTTACAAATCTCCACAAAGAATTAAAGTCTAGAATGGCTTAACATCTTGCTTATTTCAGCAGTTTTTGTCTTGAGTTTGCAAACCTTTAGGGGTTGCAACCCTTATTTTCGAATCTAGAAAGAAATATCACTCACAAATGAAATGAAGTCTTTTGTATTATATGAGGTTATTAGAAAGTCCATAAATGTTTCTTGACCTAAACCTGAATTGGCAATTTTGTGTACTTGAGATGAAAGCCATTAAAGATAGCAGAATCCAAAATCAACATATCATGTGCAAATGATTCTTGCACCCAGTTTATATATGCTATTTTCTTATTTGACTTTTTGTTTTCATCTTTGATTGTACATATGTGTGGGGGACAGATGCAAGGTTTTGTATTTTTTTCTTTTTTATTTCAGCATATTATGGGGGTACAAATATTTAGGTTATGTATATTGCACTTGCCCCACCCGGGTCAGAGCTTCAAGCATTTTTAAGTAATGCACTGGCTATATACCACAGTTAATCTTTGTCATAGTTTCTTCTGAAAATAAAAGTTTACAGCTAAGTTGTAAAATTTTACTAACAATTGAAACTTTGGCTTTTATTCCATTTTTGAAAAGAAAAAAGTAGTTATTTTAGGAAATAATACTTACATTATTTTCTGGAGGGTTTTATTAAAGTAAAATGAAACAAACAAAGAAAAACCTAAGTCAACAGTTATAGAGTATTCCTATGCCTACACAGACAGAACTAGAAACAAACTGCTATTCTCCTTTTATATTTTAACATAAGAACTACAGTTTTAATTCATGCATTTATTTATCTAACAAATGCTTACTGAATGTGTTTATATATGCCAGGTGCTATGTCCTTAGAGATTATACATATAAACAAATTTCATGCCACATGACCCTACACTCACATCTGTTAGTGTATTAAGGCTTAAATAAATTACCTAGAGATACACACATACAGAGTTTGTCCCTATAAGCAAGGTAAGTGATTTTTAAGTAGTTTTGGAATATGGAGTACTGCAAGTCAATTCTCTCAAACTTTTAATCACTCTTTTCATGTCATAGTCGAATATATGGCAAGGGATTTCAGGTTTTTTTATTGCTCATGCAGGTGTGAACATCAGTTGAGCTAACTGCACTAAGGTAGGACCAATGTTAGATCCATGCCTTAGTCATTCTTTATTCCTGAAGGAGATTGGACAGGAAGCAGCCTTGGAATAATAATTCAATAATGATGAGAAGCTCATCTTGGCACCACACTCTGACATCAAATTTAGATACCTTACCAAAACGTTGTTGAAAATTATTTATGTCTTACATGTGGACAATTCCTGTTCAAATTCCTTGGACAATATGAAGTTTAAATATGTAAAACAGCAAGTCATATGTAGAGCTCCAAATATCTAGGGGAAGGGAGGCTACACATACAATCACCTGACTGAACATAGATTTTTTTGTTAAAGTAAAATATTATGATACCTTAGAACTCTACGGTCCAATAGAACTGTGCAATAATGGAAATGTTCTGTCATATATTTGCAGTGTCCAACACAGTAGCCACTAGCCATGTGAAGCTATTGAGAATTTAAAATGTGGCTAGTGTGACTATGAACTGATTTTGAAATTTTATCCAATTTTAATTAATTAAAATTTAAATACCCCTTTGAGGCTAATCAGTATCATATTGAACAGAACAGTTGCAGAAGACAGAAGAGGAATAGGGACATTATCCATTAGCTGGTACAGATATTTCATTATCACTTTGATAATTAAAAAAAATCTATTTTTAAGATTACTGCCATTTCACATAAAAATAATTAAAAGACAGTGAGTATGCTGATCTTGGATTTTTCAACTGACATAAACTTGCCTTAATTTGCTTGAGAAAGCAAAAGCCAATTCAAAATTCAGACAAACACATAAGACTGAACACTAACTATAAACATGAAATGCACAAGTATACATAAATTTAAAAATTAAAACTAGCATATTCTTTTCCAAGTGTATTATACTCATAAATTGGATAATTGAGTTGGAAACTCAAGAACTTCAGAACATTTACTTGTTCTTTTTATACCATATTATATATATATTAGTTTTCCTTTATATAACCTCTAATAATAGCTTATAATTTCCCTCTATAGTTCTTATTAAGAATGTACTTATTCTTTCAATTAATGTTAGTCTGTTATTATCAATACCATCATTAAGTACTTCGACATTGATTTTTCTCTCACCTTAGCTAGAACTTAATTACTATTACATAAGTAAAATATGTTTACTCGCCACCATATCCCCAGTGCCTAGGAGAATGCTCTGATCATATTAGCCACTCAATTTTGGGATGCCCAGAATTTTATGAAATATAATTTATAAATTATTTTTTCTTCCCATAAATGAGACATTCTAGATTTGAACCTTCCTAAAAACCTTTTAGAATATCATTACAAATATAAAATTATCATTAATCACTAAATTTATTTAGATCAAATTATAATGGTATATACTGTATTTATATTCAATATCATTGTCATAAAAATTCTGTTTTTCTCTTAAAAATATGCATTTTACAAAATAATAGATTTCAGATTGCTAATTTTTAAACTGTAAATAAGTACAACATGAGAAATATTTCCCTTACTATAGACTCAAAGAATAGCCAGATTGTTTATTGGTTTATCTGAATGGAATGCTCATTTTATTGCATGAATTAAAAAAGAGATCGCCAGTACACATTGGTTAGCGCATATGAAAAATTTTTTAAAATCACATTGGAGCAAATTAATGGTTTTAGTTATTTTTTGAGAAATGTCACCTTAAATTTCATAATAAACATCTAATTCTTCTATGAAGATATATTATAGCTCTGCATTTGAATTAAAGTATAAGTAAATCTCAGTGCAAAAAAAATCCAAAAGTTTGCAGAAATATCTTCAAGTAATTCATAAGAGGAAAAAGATAGATATACTAGGGTATTGTATAAGGTTATATATAGCCAATTATTAAATGGATAAATTTACAAAAGATAATATGATATGAAATATATTTATAAACTGACCATGTAGTCTAGTAATTCCTGAAAGCCTGATATTATTTACTAGTTTTTAATTTTTAGAATCTTGTTTTTAGACATTGGAATGACAAAACTATAATCTCAAATGTTGTCATTTTATGATACAGCACATAAATGAGAGATCAATAACTGATCCTCTCCACATGTCAGCAACATTTATGTAAAAATATATTAGAAAATTAAAAATTATTTAGATTATATATGTGGTATGTGTGTATATATATTCATAAGTCACCCATGAATAGATATCTTAAGGTCCCTTCTGATCTTTTCTTTACACCCCCAATTCCTTTTTATCTTATTCATTTCTGTCAAAATGCTACAAGTAACACTGGGCAAGACTTCCCCTGAGAGCCAGTCAACACTACTTCTCAGTTAGCTGACAAGATCACCATTTATCTGTATAGGGCTCATCTTTTTGTAGCTCAGGACTGTTTATTAAACATTTCCGTACTGTGACTTCATGGTAACGAAGAGAAAACAGTTGCTATCCCAAGCTATCTTTTTCAATTTGACATTTCAGCATGTGTTTTATTTCATTGTGCTTGAACATTAAAAAAAAAGTTAATAAAATAATGTTTTAATCTCCAAGATAATTTCATTTTGATCATATGTTCATATAGGAAAAAGTGGAAATTCTGTTTATTTCACACAAGTTTATGTTTCAATCAGATTTTGTGTATTTTCTCTATCTGCCAAAGATATTTATTAGAAGTGATATTTATTCTGTTGTCTTATATCAATATTTTATATTGCTGCTTACTTTTGGTGGGGAAAATGCATCTTAGACAACTGAAATCTACAGTAAAAATATTGTAATTAATTTTGAATAAGTAATCCTGAGTAATTTGCTTATAGCTTCATTTATCTTGTAAAATTTAATGACAATTATTTTTTAAAATTCTTCCTTCTGCAAACTTTAATAATGTACATAAATATGTTAATTATTTTAAAATGCAATGTCTAAACCTCCCTTCCCCCCTCCCCCAGAACAATTCTAGTACAATTCTCTAATTTTAAAAATACTTAGAGATGTTAAGCAACTTGAGTGTGGTCTTAATATTAGTTACAGGCAGAATTGAGACTTAGAACCCAAGTCTTTTGGTACGTATTTCTGAACTCGTAATGTGGCTCCAAGAAATTTTTCTCATTACATAAATTAACATAATTAATGTATTAATTTATGTTAGCAGAAGCTAAAATATATTTCATTCCATGTTTTCCAGGGTCAAAACATTTTTGGGCTAGATGTCATTGAAACACCGGAAGGAGACAAGATGCCACAACTGATTGTTCAAAAAGAGTTAGATAGGGAAGAGAAGGATACCTATGTGATGAAAGTAAAGGTTGAAGATGGTGGCTTTCCTCAAAGATCCAGTACCGCTATTTTGCAAGTAAGTGTTACCGACACAAATGACAACCACCCAGTCTTTAAGGAGGAGGAGATTGAAGTCAGTATACCAGAAAATGCTCCTGTAGGTACTTCAGTGACACAACTCCATGCCACAGATGCTGACATAGGTGAAAATGCCAAGATTCACTTCTATTTCAGCAATCTAGTCTCTAGCATCGCCAAGAGACTATTTCACCTCAACACCACCACTGGACTTATCACAATCAAAGAACCACTGGATAGGGAAGAATCACCAAACCACAAGTTACTGGTTTTGGCAAGTGATGGCGGGTCAATGCCAGCAAGAGCAATGGTGCTGGTAAATGTAACAGATATCAATGATAATGTCCCATCAATTGACATAAGATACATCATAAATCCAATCAATGGCACTGTAGTTCTTTCAGAAAATGCTCCACTCAACACGAAAGTTGCTCTCATAACTGTGACAGATAAGGATGCTGACCATAATGGTAGGGTGACATGCTTCACAGATCATGAGGTCCCTTTCAGATTAAGGCCAGTGTTCAGTAATCAGTTCCTCCTGGAGACTGCTGCATATCTTGACTATGAGTCCACAAAAGAATATGCCATTAAATTATTGGCCGCAGATGCTGGCAAACCTCCTTTGAATCAATCATCCATGCTCCTCATCAAAGTGAAAGATGAAAATGACAATGCTCCAGTTTTCACCCAATCTTTCATAAGTCTTTCTGTTCCTGAGAATAATTTTCCTGGCTCCCAGTTGACAAAAATAAGTGCAACAGATGCAGACAGTGGGCGTAATGCTGAGATCAATTACCTGCTTGACATTGATGCTCCACCTGAATTCAATGTGGATCGACGTACAGGCATTTTGACTGCAGTGAAGAAACTAGATAGAGAACAACAGGAAAAATATTTCTTCACAGCTCTGGCAAAAGATAATGGAGTGCCACCCTTAATAGCCAATGCCACGGTCTTTGTGACGGTTCTTGATCAGAATGACAACAGCCCAATTTTCACTCACAATGAATACAACTTCTATGTCCCAGAAAATCTTCCAAGACATGGCACAGTAGGACTAATCACTGTAACCGATCCTGATTATGGAGAGAATTCTGCAGTAACTCTCTCCATTTTAGATGTGAATGATGACTTCACCATTGACCCACAGACTGGTGTCATCCGACCAAATATTTCATTTGATAGAGAAAAACAAGAATCTTACACTTTTTATGTAAAGGCTGAGGATGGTGGTAGGGTATCACGTTCTACAACTGCCAAAGTAACCATAAATGTGGTTGATGTCAATGACAACAAACCAGTTTTTGTTGTCCCTCCTTCCAACTACTCCTATGAATTGGTTCTACCATCTACTAATCCAGGCACAGTGGTCTTCAAGGTTGTTGCTGTTGACAATGACACTGGCATGAATGCAGAGCTTCGTTACAGCATTGTAGGAGGAAACACAAGAGATCTGTTTATAATTGACCAAACAACAGGCAACATCACACTGCAGGAGAAATGTGTTGCTGCAGATCTTGGTTTACACAGAGTGATAGTCAAAGCTGAAGACTTAGGACAACCTGATTCTCTCTTCAATGTTGTAATTGTCAATCTGTTTGTGAATGAGTCAGCGACCAATGCTACACTGATTCATGAACTGGTACGCAAAAGCATTGAAACACCAGTGACCCAGAATATTGAGACAGCTGATGCATCCTCACCAACCAGTGACTATGTCAAGATCATGGTTGCCATTGTTGCTGGGACCATAACTGTCATCCTCGTTATTTTTATTACTGCTGTAGTAAGATGTCACCATTCACCACACCTTAAGGCTTCTCAGAAAAACAAGCAGAATTCTGAATGGGCTACTCCAAACCCAGAAAACAGGCAGATGATAATGATGAAGAAAAAGAAGAAGAAGAAGAAGAAGCATGCCCCTAAGAACCTACTGCTTAACTTTGTCACTATTGAAGAAACCAAGGCAGATGATGCTGACAATGATGGAAACAGTGTCACACTAGACCTTCCCATTGAGCTGGAAGATCAAACCATGGGCAAGTACAACTGGGGCACCACACCTACTACTTTCAAGCCCGACAGCCCTGATTTGGCCCGGCACTACAAATCTGCCTCTCCACAGCCTGCCTTCCAGATCCAGCCTGAAACTCCCCTGAATTCGAAGCACCACATCATCCAGGAACTGCCACTTGATAACACCTTTGTGGCCTGTGATTCCATCTCCAAGTGTTCCTCCAGCAGTTCTGATCCCTACAGCGTTTCTGAGTGCAGCTATCCAGTGACAACTTTCAAGACTCCTGTGTCTGTACACACCAGACCGGTAGGTAATCCAAATTTCTAACTAAACTTTCTATCTTTATTATTTAAATTATTTCCAGTTTATGTAGAACTTTACAGAATCTACTGACTTCAAAGAGAGATCAAGACAATCACATTCTCCATAAGTCTCCAAATAGAAATATGGATTCATTTAAGTTTGATAGACAATCAGAACAAAATGACTGCTGATTGTAGGAAAATTGGGCACAGAATGTTGATTATAATAAGGGCAATTTTGTCTGTAGATGGCAGTATGACACTTCTTGCTAGAGAATATACTGGAAAAACACCAGAACAAAGGGTTGTAGCACTGTCCTCAGTACCATTGTGTGCATGAGGTTCAGAACAATTTGGGCTAGATACATTACAGTAAAGCTTTTCAGAATCTCATAAGAAGTTCTTAATTTTAATGGTGCTGAGAATCCCAGCTTCACTTTGGAAAATCTGTGGCTGCCCAAGGTAATTAAATGGCACCAAAATATCCTCCCTGCCATGCCCCACCACACCTCAAAGTCTTCTCAAAAATATGTGTCATTTTCAGATTAGAAACTAAAACAATATTCTGGCTCATCAAATTTATATTCACACAATGTAACAATAATGGGATTAACAAGAATGAAGTAATGTTCACTCTCATCTTCGAGCCAGAGAATGAAATATCTATTAGATCTCTATTTTAGATATCCATTTAAATATTTGCATATTTATGCAAGGTATTTTGAGCCCTTCATAAAACATTTTTAAAAGATAATGACTTTTGGAAAATGAAATATGTTTGCTTTCTCTAATGGGCAGAAAGGAAATTATGGACATGTTCAGACATAAGAAATATGTGAACAATAATTTAAAAACCAATACATTTATGAAATCAAGAGTTTATATAGTGCCTTTTGTCTGTATTCCATGGAGAAATTAATACAAATATATCTAGAAATTCATAAGTAAATTAAATGATTTAAAGATGCATATATCTATCCTTAATAAATTTAATCAATGGAATTTATCTACGTTTTTTCCTCTCGAAGTCATCCCACATGTTGACTTTATTATTTTGTCTGTGTAACTCTTAAAAGGTCTTAAGCTCAGTTTCAATGAATAAAGTGTTTTGAACACCTATTCAGGCTTTAAAAAAATGGTAGCAATGTGAAAGTCAAAATAGATTCCCTCTCACCAAAAGTTAGAGATATTAAAGAAATCTATCTGATTCAAGATAATAGTGTAAAAATTTACCATAATTTTGGAAATGGGTTAAGAATGGAAGTCATTCAAGGATGTGCACAGTTAAATAGCACAGTAACATTAACCTTTCTGAATCACGCAGTGAAGGTAATGTACTAATTCAGTTGTGGGTGCAATTTTTTTACATAGTTCCACAATTAAATGCTATTGCAAAAGGTAAAATATAATCCTAGTCTCTATGTAGAGAGTTTCCATTAGGCTTTGAGTGAATTTATAGGGCAGTGGTTATTTCTACAGTTTGGATGAGTGTCATGTTTCTCATGGTGGATCTTTGATGGGCAACAAACATAATTGATGTCTAACATCTCCACAAGGTGTGTTTTTGTTTATATTTAAGCATTCAAAAGGGCACTCTCATTTTCTAATTATTATCTTTATTCTGCTTATTGGAAACATTTCTCAATGGAAAAGTATCTTTTATGAATAACACTATGTGTGCTGCATATCCTAATAGCATTTTTTCCTGGTCTTAATTTGTGACTCTCTTAAAAAATTATACAAAGGGTGGGATTTGTGAATTACGTTGGTAGATCGTCATTTTTAATAGATTGGCTCATGAAGTTAGTTAATAGAGCAAGTTATGGCTTCAAATATTTTAGAAGGTACTGAGATATGTTATGAGCTAGACTAATTTTACTTGAGTATATGAACATTCAGTAAGCAAGGCATGGATGAAGGAAAAAAATTAAAGTATTTTCCAAATATCCTCACCTTTTGTTTTATTTTTTGTATTTTGTAATTCTTAAAAAGTCAGTAAAATGAATAACTTTTTCCTGTTATGGTATTTTATATTGGATAGCTAACAGACTTTTTTATGAACGTAGGACACATGGCTTCATGAATTAGGCAAATTATGAAAAGTAAATGCTAATGAGAATGAGTTATTGGTTATCATTAGATTTTTACCAACCAAAAGGACTATCTTAGGATCAATGAGTTGTCAAATGACTTATCTGATTTATTTTACATCTTAAAAAAGTAATTATATATTTTATGTCTGTCATTGGTTCACAGTTATTTCATATTCATTACTAAATATCTTCTGGACATGAATTGGTGAACTTAGGCAGACTAATATGATACTAAAAATAATTTGAATCTTTACATTTTGTGCTACATTTGCAATGTTCTTTACCCTTTTTATATGCAGTTCAATTTGTGATTAGTGCCAGGAGAGGCATTTTATATTCACTGATGTTGCAGAATGCTAACAAGATAAGTGAGCACTGAAAAAAATTATGTATTTAAAAATTCAAATATAGTAAGTGTCTTCCTTTTAAAGAAAAATACAAAATGGGGAAAAGTGTCAGACAATACAATAAAAATTCATTTTTCCTTAATGAAATACTGAAAGTAGAATAAAATATTACTGTTAACAGAAGGCAGAAATATTCCAATTTATTTTAAATACAGTGAGAAACACATTTCAAAAGGATGATTTAGAGTGATATTTACATTTAGTTAATTACTCATCTGAATAGAAACATGAAAGTAGAGGAATAAAATGATTCTAGTTCTAGTAAAATAGTTCCAGTATCCCAAGACCCTGTAAGATACAAGGGTCTTGGTCCAAAATGTGATGTTTTAAAAAGAGAATCAAATACTTTCTATAGATTGTTTTTCTGGCTCTGATGTTCTAAAATATTATGGACCGATATATTAGACAGGAATGCATCTATTGCATAAAGCCATCTATACTAGGGGAATATGATGTTCCTCTTTGGCATAAATTTATACATGTATCATGGAAGGTATTTTTGTATATATTGTAGTAGAAATGGAAAGCATGAAATTTAAGAAGTTGAGTCTAAATATTACCTTCTTTTAACACTTTTCAGAGCAAGCCGATAGCATTTGGTTGGTATGTCCCTAGAAAAAGAATAAATATAAATAACTATTTTAGAATCAGTTTTGATAATAGTCATAAGAAAGAAATAAACTGCCAAAATCAAGTCTTACTTAACACAACTCCCCCATTAGTAGGTTGTGAAGACTATACATTTGAAAAATAGAGAGGGGAATAAAAAGAAAGCATCATTTTTGGGGAGGGGGCTTCTATATACAAGTCACTTAAGATATGTATTTGAGGTACATCATTTCCCCAAAACAAACAAACAAAAGCTTTATGAATTTCTGTGACTTGAGTTGAAATAGTATTGCAGTTTTGGAAATGAGTAGAAAAGAATGGTGAAAGGTTTGGATAGTTATAATTCATGGATGAAACCAGGCTATAGATATGATACATGGATTCAAAATAATAACAGTCTGAGTTAGCTTGGAATAGGATTGATATTCACTACTGTTAAATTCAGTAGCTTTGATTCTGTGCATCTATATTTTGGTAATGTTAATTTTAACTATGTAGCATGCTTGGCAAAAAAGACTCCTAGAATACAGCCATCTCATTTTGATAACATGTTATTTTTCTTGTCCTAGACTGATTCCAGGACATCAACTATTGAAATCTGCAGTGAGATATAACTTTCTAGGAACAACATAATTCTTTTCCCCTTTCAAAAAATTTCAATGATTTGTGATTTCAAAATTTGGCTAACATCATTAATTTTGTAATCTGGATTTCCTATTATAATAGCAAGCAAAACAAAAACCACATTAAAAATTATGTCCCAGTGAACCTTGTGCTTTCGTTAGCTGTAATCTGGCAATGGAAATCTAAAATTTATGAAAGAAACAGTATAGTATAATAACAGAGTTCTGTCATGTTGTTTCTCTGTTTTCTTGCTCTGAATGTCAATAATTGTGATGTAATATAATGCTGTCTTGATGTACAAACTGATGGTTAATATATCAATCTTGAAACATGGAATTACTTGCCCTGTGTGATTACTGAGAAGTTTAAACATCATCTCCGTGAGTTTGGAAGTGAAGCTGAACTATCCAAGCTACCTTCTGAAAGGTATCCAGGGCAAGAGGTTTTTTTTAAGACCTCCAAAACAAAGAAATAAACAAAATCAAAAAATCTTTAGTACAGTGTTTTGAACATATTCACTAACATAATGTTGCTGAGAAAATCATTATAATTACCCACTACTATGCTTAAAAGTTGGATTATAGAAAATAATTATACTGGGTTTTCATGTTGATTATAATCATGTTGTTCCACTACTTTAATCATTAAAAATTATTTTGTTGTAATCATGTTTTCTTTTTCTATAAACACTTAAAAAGAAAGTTCTTTCTAATTTATCTATCAAAAGGAGAATGTAAAGTTCTTTATACTCCCTAATATTTTGAAGAAAGTATATTGATATTTCTTGTATTATGAAAACTAATTCCAGTCACATGAGGATAAAAAACAAGGATTTGCATAGGATATTTCAAAAAGATTTCACCTTAATTTTGAAACTACCTAGGAAGAAATATAAGGTACACATTTAAATCGATTTATTTTATTTGTTTGCCATTAAATTACTAAATATATATCATTGCTTTGAATAATTTGCCCTTTAAAATTAACTCACTTTTCACAATAGACTGATTAACTCATTTCCTACGCAAATGAGTGAATGCCTGAAATTGGTTGTACATTATATTTTATTAAAGAAGGAATGACATGGTCCAATTTTATGCCATGTTCTTTAAACTGTTTATGACCAACTAACACTACTAACAGAATTTTTTAAAAAACAATTCATGGTTTCTTAGGATAAAAAGGGAGTATAAAGGACCCTTATAATCCCTGCATAACATATGCTTCCTTGATCTTCATTTAAATGCTTAATTTTGTATCATTTTATCTTGAAAAGTGTGAATAGTATTTGGTCTGTTATGTATGTACATTAAAATTAGTGTGTTATTTGAGGTGTTCTTTGGTGTAAAGATATTTAGAAATTTATGCTCTATTTAGCATTTTAAATTAGTGTAATTCTTGGATGTTAAAACATAGGTAATATTTTAAACAAGTTTCAGTTAAAACTTAGTGTTCCCATTGACTCAATACAGAATCCTTTGTACCTTCGATAATGTCAAGTTCCTTGAGCATACCTGCTATCTGTTTATTTAAACATTACTTAGTTGATTACAATGACTACCAGTGTAACTACTTTTACTGGTAATGAGAAATGTTACAATATTACATTATACACTTACAAACAACTGTTGCAGAAATATGCTGGAAATTGAAATTTACCTTTGTACAAGTTATTCACATAGAACAACTTTAGTTCCTCCTCATTTTTTCTTGATAAATTAAATATTTCAGTAATTCAAATCATTCCAAGGAATGTCAAAATTGAACCAATTTAATATAACACTAAAATCAGTGCCCTGAAGGTACCAAGATACACTAAAAGTGAGGGTTTCCAAAATCTCAATTTAATTTTAAATAACATGACGCCCAAGAAAGTGGATCGGGAGTTCAAATGTCCCATAACAAACTACCATGTCTTCATGACCATTGCATATGTAATTATTATATAAATGTGTTTTAAATGCTTGCATCTTAACTACCCTGGTCTCTCCTTTTCTGCACACTGTGAACTAAGGAGAAACCTTTATTTTTCTTCTGTGACCCTTTCCTTAATAACTGTATTGAGAAAAACTCCTAATCACTTTTTTGTGTGTGTGAAGATGAAAATGATTTGAAATAGTTATCCTGAATCCCTTAAAAAAACATTTTTCAATAGTTTTATGAGTGTTGTTTTTCAGAAGATGAAAATAGAAACTTTATTTTTAAAGTTATAACTCTGTCTCAGAATGCAGCTTCTGTGAGAAAGGAAATTTAAATTGATTTCTTTCCTACTCTTTGAGCTAAAATATTTACTCATATGAGACAATGATGACTGGCACTTAACAGTATTTAAATTTGGACCACAGATGAAAATGCATTCTAATTTGACTATTAACAATCCTTGATCTATCCTTTGCTTGTATTTGAAGGACTAGTATTTCCGCTGGAGAACAACATAAAAGACATTTGAACTAGTTTTTGACAAAAGCCAAAGAGGACAAAAATATCTATTTTCCTACTTCATTCCTTCTTACCAGTTGATTTGGTGGCACCTTTAATTTAATTGTCATTATTATTACATGTTGTCTTACAAGGTCTCAGGTATCATCCAACCTCTTGTGTTGGTATTAATAGACTCGTGAAATATTTTCAATGTAGTGTCCTTGAGGGTCTGTCTGGTTCCTATTCTAGTCAGTGAAGAGAAAGAAGAATAGCAAATCTTAAGATTATTCCTCATAAATAAAGAAAAGGAACTTTTAGTGAACTTAGTCTATTGAATAATAAAGTAGAGTGATTGATGAGCTACAATGTATTATATATTTCCCCCCTGCAAGCACTCAAAGAAGCATTGTTTTCTTTTGATCAAAATCTATAGTGCATAAATTGAACAAAAACCATTGAAATATATTTCCTCATTTTACTTTTAATGTAAAAGTTTATTTTTAAAAGGTAAGATGTTAAGCAATTACATTTACATTATTTTTATTTTCAATGATTTAAATATTAAAATTACAAAAGAATTTTAATTTCATCCATTAATTAATCTTTTATGCATGTGTCTTCTGTTTTCTATGTTGATGACCCTGTCCACATTATCAGTGAAAATGCATATGCTTTAGAATAACTTTTAAAAGTTGAATTTATATTCAATCAGTCAACCACTATTTTGTACAATATGTACTAACCTTTTCATTTTACTAGGAAATACGAGTGCCTCATTTTACTATTTTGTCACCTACACTCCTCACTGTTTAATTAGATGTTGTAACTGTGTGTCTAACTAGGTGTGATGTAAAGCCTGATCTCAACAGAAATGCTACAGGATAAACAGACTTTAAGAAATCTTGTATGAACTTAAACTATACTCTGTAAATGCTTCCTATAGGTGCTTTTGTGTAACAGACATATTTTCCTAGATTTTGTGAAGCTTAATTTTGTTTGTTTATTTTAAATATTAGATTGAAGTTTCTAGCATATTCAAAGGTGCTGTGATAATATAAAGCTATATGTGTTGTATATAGTTAATGTTTTTAAAAAATATTGTGCAATTTGTTTTTATCATGCATTATGGGTGTTGATTCATGACATCCGTGGTTTAATGTGATATTTAAAATTACGAGTACACTTTTTAAATTCTAGAATAGCCATAGGTTTTTATTTTTATCGTATATGTAATGCACATTTGCCGTAGAAAAATTTAGAAAATTGTATATCGATTTTAGATGAAGAATTTTAAGATTATTTGTTTTCATTTCAAGCTATATCAGTAAGTGCTTTATAACTTACTTGGTAATTATGCTTGAAGGCTCTATAACTTTTGCAAGTGAAGCATTTTAAAATTACAGAATTATTCTCTTTGTTTTATATTATAAACTATACATGCAGCATTTTTTACATGTATTGAAGATTGACTTATTTATTATACATATTGCTTATTTTTATAGATGTATGATTGGACAAATTCATGTAATAACATAGCTTGATTAGTTGATAGTGTAATACAGACGCATGCTACATATCTCCACCATAAGACTCACTTGCCCTCAAGGAAAATAGAATTTAAAAGAATGCCATCTAAGTGTTTCCCAAAAGTTCCCTTAGAACAAATAACCTAGTTATATAATTATTTCCAAGAATTCTCATAACTGACTCTTTTGCCTGTTCCATATTATCTAGATATTTTCAATTGAAATTGCTCTAATTTTCCCTTTTTGGCAGTGAGTTATATTTAATTGTTCACACAATTACAGGAATATTCAATTAGTAATAAACTTTTTGTCAAGTGAAGAGAAAATCACATTTCATTAGGCTATAGTCAAATTTGCATAATTGCGAAAATGAAGTATTTCAATGGATTCTCTAGAAATATTTTCACTTTTCTTCCATATCCTAAAACCATATATTTATTTATTATTCATTGATTTACTTCATAAAATGTTATTCTCTTTGAAATACAATTGATTTTTCATTATTTTTGTCTTAAAATTTGACAAAAAATTAGATAACTAAATAATGTTTTACATACTTAAATAGAGAAAAGTTTAAATATTACTGCTTTTACTCTATTCAGTGGTAGATAAATGTAAACAAATATGCAATTCTGATGAACAATATTATTTACAAAATTCCATAAAATAAATTTTAAAATGTATTTAACTTACATAACAGTTCTAACCTCAATTACAAAATCAATATAGATCACCATTTCAATTATACATTATAACTAAAGAGAATTGATCATAAACATTGTTACCTTATACAAATATATTTCCAGTAATACCAACATGCAGCCAGAATAGTTGTTCAGTGTCACAACCTTGAAAAAATTAAAATTTTCAAAAAACAAATTTGACCAGCTCTTTTGTCAAGTAAACACAGACATAGTGTCATATTCAAAGATGGAACGAATACACAGAAGTGGAATTGCATGAACTCTGAAAAACTAGTTTATGAGCTCCTAAATGAGAAAATATATTTATTATTATTTTTATTCACTTGATCATTGCTATTCAAAATTATGTATTGGGTGCCTTTTTTGTAAATTGTATACATTACTTATGATGTTCAGAGTAAATAATTACCTTTTTTCACACAAATTCAGTTCCATATAGATATCATGGCTATGTCTACATGATACCAAAACATCTGCAAAGTACAATTTGTCATCATACAGGGAGGTATATTATTAACCTGACAGTTATTTGACTTTATAAAGATACTGACTTTAATACTACAAATTAATATTACAATAGCTTCATTTTAGATAGAAAAGAGTTTGACATGCTATATAAATTTATCATTATCTGAATCTAGAGTAATTGATAATATTTAACAACAAAATTCCACATGGTGCTACAATACAACTTTACATACATAAATTTTAGAATTGTTTATGAGGCTGTGCACACATTTCAAAATGCACACGAATTTTATAAATGATAAAGAACATACAATTAAGTCCTTTTAGGTTTGAGACTTGAAAGATATACATGACAAACTCATGTCTAGAAATTAATACACCTAATTTTGTGTTTAGAGGATAATTCAAATTAACTTGATGTTTAAATCTAATATAGTGAGATTAAAATGGATTAGTGTATGTATAAGCACACATATGTTTGCATATATGTGTGCATGTTTATGTTTATAGCAGAAAAAAACATAATATAAACTTCAACCTAAAGACAGCTCATTCAGATCAATTATACATCTACATTTACAATGTTATTGTTTCCCTTTATACTGTTATGCCACATTTCCAAACTATAATCATCCTGTACCCCCTACATCATCCTATATATCATCTTTCATTCAGTAAACTTGCCATCGTATTCAGTGCATTCTGAATATGTTCTCATGTGTTTTTTTCCTTTTATTCAAATTATTTGGCTCTAATGTAACCACAGTACTTCTCACTATAAAGTTTCCTTGTTTTCTGAATGATCACAGATCCAATGATATTGAAGTATATATGAAAATAATTAAAATATTTGTTGTCTAAGTACTAGTATAGGTTTTGCTTCTCCTGCATACACACATAAAAAAGATAAATTTGCCTTAAATAATAGTCAACTTCTGCTCAGTTGGTATAACTAAAACAAATCCAAATAAAAGACCATTAAAACAATCCTCTTTATTTTGCATTAATATCTTACTTAATTTTAATGCCTATGAAAACAAAAAGGAGATAAGTAGTTTTCTGTTAGTGCTCTGTGTGATGTCAGATTTGCAGTTTCATATGCCTGCAATTTTATGGGTTTTATTTATGTTTTCATCAAAAAGCTATGGCATGGATTTACCATAATCGTATACACGCACATATACCTACCACCATAATCTATATACGCACACATACATTTTTATAAACAGCTCAGTGTGGACTATGGATTGACATAAATCGTAGGAATATTTATAAGGACAGGCCCTGTTTTCTGATTGGGCAATATGTACAATTTATTATCACTTCTGTTTTTGAGTGCAGATAGTACTAAGAATAGCAATTGAAGAAAAACAGTGTAACATAAAATTATGAAGATTTAAAATACAAGAGGATTCATAATAGTCACTTTAAAACTTTAGTTGTTCTTTGTACTTTGTAGCTATAATTTAAAAAAAAGAATAAACAAGTTTTTGTGTGAATATATTAGAATGAATATTATAGAACATTTTTCAACTGGAATACATGTAAAATATATGAACACTTGGTTGTATTTGATGTAATTTCAGTGCATACAGTGTGCGTAACCTGTATTAAGTTAAATACCCATAAATAAAGTTGTTTCTTCATTTCAATACCACATCTTTTGATATTTTTTGAAGCGCTTGTTGTCAGCCGGGACCACAAATTTCATTAACATCATCAAGAATCCTAAAATATTTTTGGTGCAATAACATCTTACATTCATCATGGTATGACTCATTATATGCATGGTATTAACCAGAACTTCATATATTGGCATTCCTATTCACCACCATTGTGAGATAACTGATCTTTTTCAATTAACTCAAAGCAATGAAGTAGATTGAAGTAAATAACATTTACTAAAGTTTAATTTTGTGCATTTTATTGTACTCAGATTCTTTGAATATTGGTATTATGGTATAATTTATTAGACATTGTATTTGAGAAAACATGCTAGATAATGGATTTTGCCACGAATTCAAACAAGATTAGTAAATATTTGTCAAACTCCAACTGTAAGGCAATGTGGAGGATGTCAGTGGTGAGTGTGAGGGTTGGGATATAGTGCAACAAGGATGCGGATTCAGGACAACTGAGGTTCTCCCCTGATTGCGATTAGTGTAAAAAGCCCCCTGCCTATGGAGTCAAAATACAACTGTGTTAAAATAAACTTTCATTTTTTTCTGTGCAGAAAATCCCTGAGTATATCAGGTTTTGAAAAGAGTAAAATCAAAAGCATATCAAAGTGACAAAATATAAAACTTCAGTTTTTATTATAATAATTAGGAGAGTGTATATGTGTGAGTGTGTGTGTGTGTGTGTGTGTGTGTGTGTGTGTGTGTGTGTGTGTGTTTGAATATCGCTAGTAAATCACTTCACAAGTATGTATTGGGTATAAGCACACATGTACCTAGCCCATGTCAGGAAGTATTTTAAAATCAGCATCACTTTTCTCAGTTACATCCAAGCAGCAACTAAATCATGTTGACAATATCTCTAAAATACTTCTGACGTTGGTCCCTTTGCCACTTCTCTTTTTCAGGTCCTCATCATAAATTACCTGTTTCACTGCTATCAGGTTGTCTTACTCCCTACTTTCATCTGTCCAATTTTCTACCCTGTATCCAGCATATTCTTTCTGAAACACAGATCAGATCAAGTGAACCCTATGACAAGAGCTTCTAAGTCTTTCCCCATTGCATGTAGAATAAAGCTTCAATTACTATATTTTTCAAAGGAGTTTGCAATATT